ATACTTCTCTCTCCTTCCAATTCTGAGAGAGGGGAATTACAAACAGAACCAACACAAACCATAACCCCTAAAGACCTTGTACAATGAAGAGGGGCCATCAAATGCCCATTTCACCCACCTGTGCTACAAACCCAAGTAAGAGTATTAATATTCCATGTACACCTCTTTGAGTTGAACACTTAGATTTATCTCTATTATCATCAGGACAAGAAAAAACATACTGATGATAATGGTAAAGGACCTATTTCCTACTTTAGTGGTTTGATATTATTACATTTGAGAAAAATTAAATGCAAAGCAGAGGAAGAGTAACAAAATGACTCCAGGCAATCTTTAAATCACACTGCTCTGAAAACAGATCCATCAGTTAGAAAATTGGGGCAAAACTTATTTATGTATGTTTTGGCAGTGCACCCAAATATTCATCATCTTTAAAACTCTTTTAAAGCTCTTATTATAACATATAAAGAGCTTACTTAAAAAATGTAACTGTAAGCAAACCTGTAACTATTTTTTTTAAAAAAACCCCGTTTCCTCTTGAAATCAGGTTCACAATGAATTAATTTCTATTTGTCTTTTAATGCAAATGGTACTTTAAACATTTTAGAAGGCAAGTTTAATTAAATGAATATATAACAAGGCTGTTACTATCTACAATTCAGAACCCTAAATTTATTAGGAAATTGGGCTTTTAGTAACAGCTTAGTATCTGAGGAATGACTGTCATGCTTACATATAAACCTCTCAGCATAAATAGTCTGTTTCTTCAATAACCATTCCAGAGAGAGTGCTGTGAATTAATGTCCAAGCAGTCTGTACATCTCATTTCACCAATAGTGCAGTTCTCTTACTGATGAGAGTTTAAAGAATTGTATACAACTGCTTAAATTTCATCGTCTATTTCTGGGGAAATGACCAGCTTAGATGTTGTGGAAATCAAGCCAGCAATTTAAACTGCTAATTGAAGCTCAATTTATCTGGGGCTACCTGGGAATTTAGAATCAGAAGAAAAATATTTAAAGGAAAAGCTGATATTTCATTATGATTACTTAGCTCTTAAGTGGTCCAGACTGCATTGCTGAAAGCTTCCAAAGGCACATTTGCTCAAACACTGTACCTCTGGAGACTATAACCTCCACTTTCTGCTAACACAAGAGCTCTCAAAGATGCTAATGATCTAGTTTGAGCCTCTTTCGTGTTGAAGTCTTTATTTGCTTTTCTGTAACACAAATTTCATTGCCGCTATTAAGTTTAGGATGCCAGTGTATCTGTTATGTGTAAGACTGTCTCGTATCAAAATATAATACTTTATATGAATATAATGACATTTCTACTCATGGCCCCTTACTATTTGCCAAATATCTTATGGTTATTTAAGTAATTTCTTTATTGATAAGCAAGTCAAATGTCCATCTGTGCAGGAAAATGAGGTGTAACAGCCACAATATGTGCATGTGTGCATGCATGCATATGAGTATTTTTGTAGTTATATACCTTTTCTCTGATCCAGTTGCCGTACCATCAAATGGTAAAAAGGTACTAAAACAAAACCAAACAACAAGAAAAGGAATCTTCTTTCAGAGCCATATGCCCTTGTGTTAATCTATAGAGGGGTGTGTGTGTGTGTGTGTATGTGTGTGTGTGTGTGTTGGGGGGGAGAGAGATAGAAAGAACACTTTTATAAGGAAAACAAATTAAGAGTGGCATAGGAGATGGAGCAAGAAAAAGAAATTGAATAATTATGGTGAACATTTGAACATAAGATGGTAAGGGAAAGAAAATGAACTTTAATTTACTTCTTAATGTGTCTCCAATATGGTGTTTTGTAAAACACATTTTTATTAAAACAAAGAAGACGTATCAAAGAATTTTCCTTAAAAAACCTTCAAAGTATTTTTCAGTTTTTAAAATATGATATCTGAAGTCAAACCTATACTGATCTTAACTTAGTTACATTAGATTTTCTTAGACAAAAGGATGAGAACAAAACAAAACACTAGCATTTATAAAATAATGTCTAATTTTCACGGCAATATTCACATATTTCTCATTTACTTCTAAAATGTCTATCCTCTAGGAATCAGTCTTACAAATAATGGCGTTAGTTATTTACCAGAAAGGCTACTTTAAAGCTTTTAGAAAACAATTATAATCCAATTTAAAAAGCAACTAAGCTATTACCATGACAATGAAAAAACCAAAACTTAAATTGTTTTTTTAGTAACAGGTTAGTATTGGAGAAATGACTGCCAGGCTTAGATACAAATTTTCCTTAGCATAATATTCTTAACTAACCATTCTAGGGAGAGTGTAATTTATGTACTATGTGTAAAAATAACATATGTGCATGTGTGGGTTGACCATGATACAACATGGCCTTTTATGTGACTTTATTGACATTTTCCTTTATAGATACATGTCAAATAATTATTAATATGTCAAATAATATTGCTCAGTTTTATGTATTATGAAAGGAAGGATTTCTTTATAGAACTTTAAGAACATAATAGATTGAGTTAAGCATGGACTTTGAAATCAGACCTAGTTTGATACTAAAATTGTCTACAGAGAAAGTAAGCACACTTAAGAATTATATAAGCTTTCTGGTTTTTCAGTTGCTAAATGTGGTATGTTAAATACTATATTTAATACTATTATAAATGTTAATTATTAGCATATAGTGTGGACTTTCTATTACATTCCTTTTCTGATGTCCATTGCTGGCTTTACCATGTTTTTCCAAAGAGGGGGAACATTTTAAAAAAAGTTCATGTTTAGGTAGTTACAAATGGTATGCCATTTCCTGTGTTTATAATAAAGTCGTGAAGACCTAGGAAAATGTCCTCTTAATTAAGCTGTCAAAAAACAACCTGGGTCACTCACAACAAATGTGATCCTATCAATTTTAGAATGAGACATAGGGATGTTACAGAATCAATCATGGACAGAAAGTAGGACTGGTCAAGGTGGCCCACAGAGTAGGCAGATGGGAGCAGTTTTATTTTTTTCATATTCCTACCTCAAAGAGATCCTGAAAAAACCCCTGTGTATTTCTATTCTTTTTAAAAAATTTTTTATTGTATTATTTTTACGTGTACCGTCAAATCAGATCTGACTGGTACAGGAGGAGATTGCCCCCTCCTTCTCCAGCAGAGCATCTGGTGGATTTGAACCGCATACCTCTGGGATTGCAGTGCAGCGTCTTGCCACTAGGCCACCAGAGCTCCCTTAATGTCTATTCTTTAATAAACACAATCACATCATACATGAACTTCCTAGTTTAGACAAGAGACAGACAGCTGTGAAAGGTCTGTGAAGACATATTTCCATTTTATTATTGTTTTTTTAGGCATAGACGTGTATGTTAATCCATTTCCACATACAATTTTTGTAATCGCAGATACGGAGTGAACCTTGAACTGGCCAAACCTGTCTCCTCTTGTGAAGGAGTTAAACTGGAGAGACGAAACCTCAAAAGCAGAGGGTTATGAATGATCATCTTCTCAGCACTGCTGTGCATACAAATGCCATTCCATGAAGCCACCTTGCTCTTCTTTTGGCTTTGATTTAATGGGAACAATCCTCTTTTCCCCCAGCAAACTTTCTGCTTTTTGTCCACGGCTCTCCAGTTCTCATTTTCTTCTCTTTAGGTTCTGGCAGCTGTTTTTGGAATTAGTTAACCATTGCAAGTGGAAAATCAAGAAATAATTATAATATAATCCTCTCTATTGTCACTTTGCTTCTTTCTGCAAATATATCTTAGAAGTTAGACTTTGAAGCTTTGATCTCCCACACCAACAAAAAAAAAAAGGAAAAAATATTTAGATATACTATGTAGTGTTCATGATTTATTATGGAAAGTAGGTGTTTGAAAGTTTTAGAATTTCTTTAACAAAATTCTAAAGAGAATGAATGTGTGTGAGAGAGAGAGATAAGAAAGAGATAGAGGGGAAAGACAGGGCAAAAGAGAGAAATCACAGTATTTACAAAGATAACAGAATGGCTTTGCCATGCAAAACAAATAACTTTGGTTTTTCCCCTTTGACTTTGGTTTAAATGTTGACCAAGTTTTCAAATTTTCCCCCCTGCCAAATAAAACATCAATAAATCAAAGTTTAGAGGTGAAATAACATATTTTTTTTCTCCATAATATTTTATATAGCATCGAGTCTAATAGGATATTTTATATATTTAACCCATATTAACCCACTATAAGAAGCTTTTATGTAACTTAAGTTACTACTGCCCAGACAGGAAACGGTTTACAAATGTACAATAACGTGTTTTGAAATAATGTAGAAGTGGCAAAGTATGACTCTTAATAGCCTTCTAACTTTAATCTTCAATTTGTTTTCACTGTCTTCTTATTTTTCATTCTGACTCTAAGAAAAACAAAAACCAGTTTTCTTTCTGTGTCACCGAAAGAACAGAGTTCTACACCTGGAACTCGGATGTTCATTTTCCCCTCTTCCCCTGAACTTATATGAATCCTGGGACAAAAAAAAGGCTGTGCAGTGTTCTCCCAGAAACTTAACTTCTGCTTGAAAGAGCAAAGTTTTAAAGTCTAATCATAAGTAGCTATTGGCCCATATCCAATATACTTCAAAAGTTTCCATTTTCACTACCACCCTAAAAAGTTTCTCAAGCATAAAACATGTTTATAAAGTTACAAATTTAAATGTAACTAAAGATACATAGACATTTTATTATTACACTTCCAATGTACTGTTTGATAAATTATGTACCAGTTAAAAACACTAAATTATCTCAAGGTGCATTCAATATCTGTAGCGTAGTTAACAAAAACACACACGAAAAAAATATATATTCTATATTCTGTGGAAAATAACACAGCTTTGATAATGACCACTGTTAAAAATTTCCAATTCTGATTGGTATCTTTTCTTAAAGGAAACAGGTATAATTTTAAGGCAGTGGATAACCCAAAGGATTTAAAACCAATTTTTAACTACCGTGATTTACATTGTGACTAATGAAAGTGGGAATGTTATCCATGATTTTTCCAAACTGTCTCTCATATATTGGTTTGCTTTTGCTTTTGACAAAAAAGAATTTAGTAGCAGGTGTCTACAAAGGTAAATGCTACCTCAAATATGATTTGTTTTTCGTTTTTCCAAGAACAGACAAAATTGTCAGTTTGGGCGTACCATTTTCATGTATGTGTGTCCATATATGTGTGTGGTTTGACTTTGAAGCGTCAGCTGGTGGCATGTACGCAGAACAAACTCATCTGATGCTTTTCAATCTGACTCTCTTTATCCCCCTGCTTGGTGATAAAAATCACAGCTTTGACTAGCGCAATGTGTGTGACCCCAATCTTCACAAGCTGCCACCTTTGGGTCCGAGGTGCTTGTGATAAAGTTTGGGGCATTACTGATAGCAATCAGAATCAGAAATGTACCTGCTCAGATTATCCATATAAACAATTGAAATAAAAACATTCCATTATACATCGGATCAACAGCAACTCCCAGAACAAAGCTTACAGTGTATAAAAATAGCTACGTAAAAAATTTACATAAAAGGCAAACCAAAAACAACTCCTCAGTGCAGACAATTTACAGGAAAAAAAGAAGTCAAACTAAACACAACGTATGACCTATTATCATGGCTGCCAAAATTTGTTATTGTTTCTCATTTCATTTATTGTTTTACTTGAGATAATTCTCTAAAATCCCGTGACAGCTTGATAAAATGAACTGCTGAATACTTGAACCATGAATTGCTGCTGTCAGTGTCTTTGCATGTATCTTAAATACAATCCATGTTCATGCTTCAATTGGTCTATATGGGTTTCTTTCTCTGAAATAAAAAAAAACAACTAAGTGAGTCATATAGCAATCTTTTTTATTTTTTTACCATCAAAAGAGGCTCTGTACTAAAACAGTACTAGATTACCAAGAAATAAGGTAAACATGGCTTTACTTGTGCCTATTTACTAATTTTTATTGAACAATTTCATATTAAATATTCTGCTTGTAGATATGTCTGGCATCTGTCTCTCAATCTGAGTGACTTTCTTAAAGAATCAAAGCTCTTTCAAATTTCTAGTCCCTGAAAGAATGAAGTAATCAACAAGCCAGTAAGCACAGGCTTACTCGTAGTTATTTACTAATATACAATGAACATTTTTTTTCTCACATCTGTGTTGAAACCCATGTAAAATTTCTACTACAGAGATGTGGTCAAAGGAAGCAGGTGAAGGTATAAATAAACAAAGTAAGCCTGTGCTTACCTTGCTTATGAGGTAATTTACCCTTGACTCTAAGTGATAATAATTATTTTAATATGAATCTTATTATAAACCTCATTTGTCCCTGAATCAACCTGTAATTGCAGACATTGCTGCATTAAAAAAAAAGAAGAAAAACATATTAGAATCTATTGAAAGTTTTTATTTTTTTGTGAAAATGGCTTAATTCATATTAAGATTATATGGTTTTCAGAAAAAAAATCATTCCACTTCTCTTCAGGTTAAAGCTGCAGTTTATTTGTTCAAATCACACACTGTTTTGTGGGGTTTGTCTTCAAGATCAATTTTCTTTTGAGAATTTACTCTATCCAATTTCAAATAATATAAAGTAAAAAATATCTGTGTTTACAAAGGTTTATAGAGAACAAAAGTTGGGAGAAGTAAGGAAAAAAAAAATTAGGCCAGATCACTCACCTCCTGTTTGACTTCCAATGGAAAAACAGGAATGGAGGGAGATTCTAATTTCCATTTCTTTTGTTCAATCATTTTGAGATCTTGGTTTTTGGATCTTAAACATATATCCCATTTCAGTTGTTCTAGGTTTTTTCCCTTCTTTTGTGTTTATCCTTCTAATTACAATTCTTTCCCACATTCTTCATTCTTAGTTTTGGGATTAACTCAGGTAATTGAATAAGGTTGTGATTTGGAGGGAATGATAACAAATGACTTAGTGGTGTGGTTATACATTATTGCATCCCTGAGGTAAGACTTAGTGGCAGTCATTTTCACAGGCACACAAAATAGTTTCTCTAAATGCTACCCTTTTTTTTCTGCTTCAGTGGAACATAAAAAAAAAAGTCAAATTCTAAGTGATATACCATCTTTTTGAAATAGTGAATCGTACACTATAATACATGGTGTACACAGAACACATGACATTGACAATGTTAATTCTTCACATACATAGGAACCATGGTGGTACAGCAGATTAGGCTCAAACATGCCATGCAATGGGGAAAAGATGTCGTAGTCAGGCTCCCATTAAGATTTACAGCCTTCAAAACTCTATGGAGCAATACTCTTCTGTCTAATAAGGCACCATAAATTAACTGGATAGCAGTTCTCTCTCACACACTCACACACGCGCGTGCTGCTGGTGTTATGTGCTCTTAAAGTGATTCAGATTCATGGCCATTAAGTTGATTCCTACTCATGGGGATCATTTCTGAGGATGCAAATGTAAATGGAAGGAGGCAGAATCACCTGTGTCCTGTGGCAGGTTCAAGTTGTGATTAAGCATTAAGCCCAATACTTAACCTACTAAACCATAAGGATTCCTAAGGGACAACATCAGCAGGCAAAAACTGCCCAACAGGGTTTATTGGCCATTCTTTCTACCTGGTGACATTTGTGCTAAGCGCTGAATTGTAACAGAAGGTGTGTGGTTTAAACCTACCAGCCTATCTGCAGGAGAAGGATGTAGTCATCTGCTCTCACAAAGACTGCAGTTAATAGAAACCCTAGGGGGCAGTTTCACTTTGTTTGATCAGGTCACTATTAGCAGGAATCAGTTTGATGACACACATCAAGTGCAACCATCTTTAAGAGGGAATATTATCAAGTCTTTTTCTCCTGTAGAAGCTGCTGGGTAGATTTGCAGCTCCAATATGTCAGTTAGCAATCACAGATTAGCCATGGAAACACCCGGGCTCTAAGCACGCCTAAGTTATTGTCATTAGGTGCTGCGGAGATGGTCTGCCTCACAGTGGTATCAAGTGCAGCAGAACAAAACACTGTCCAGTCCTGCACATCACCACAATCTCAGCCATGCTCGAGCCCACTGTTGCAACTGCTGACCAAATCTATCTCCTCTAGGGCCGTCATCTTATTTTGCCAATCCGCTACTTCACCAAGTATGAGGTCTTTCACTAGAACTGATCTCTCCTAATACACAGACATGCAGAGATGCACAGATGGGTAGCTGCACTTTGAGTGCATAGTTTTGAATCTATCAGTTTCTCCGAGGGAGAACCATAGAGCAACCTCTTCTGGTATGATTTACTGTCTCTGAAAACCTGCTACAGGTCAGTTCCAACTCAATGATACATAATAATAAAAAGGAATACAAATATATAAACAATGCATGCATATTTGTTTTCTTATTGTGTGCTGCTGAGTCAAAACTGACTCATAACTGACCCTCCGGAGGATTTTTAGGGGCAGTAGATCCTACAGGAGGAGACTGCAGATTACCCTCCTTTCGGCCCAAGAGCAGCTGTGGGTTCAAACCGCACATTCAAATTTATCTGTATATTAAACCCTTCAATTGAGATTTTCACATTTTACATTATTCTTACCTCTCCTGAAGCATTTGAATTTGCTTTTATTCTATCCCAAGTACCAATTTATAAAATAAATTTACTTTCCACCCAGAAATATAATTTTTTTTTGCATTACATACAATATACTAGTTGGATATTAAATTATCAAAATTGATTTAAATTCTTTAGATGGTAATACTTATTTCTGAGAGGAATAGAGAGGTTCCGTTCTTCTGAGAGTATCTTTCTGAGCTACAAAATTTCTTTCCCAAAACTGATATTCCTGCTTTGAACTATAATTATGAAGCAGCTTAATGTTACCCTTTTCCGCTTCACTTCCGAGAATGTTCCATACTTTCTGGATATTATTTCTATAAACCTAATACATTCTACCAACCTGGACAAGTACTTTCTCTCTTAGGCTTCTGTTTTGTGATTGTTTTCTTCAAGCTTTTTGTTTTCCTCCAGATTACCAAGATCCTTGTTGACATGTTTTGATGCAGTCCTAAAAGAAAATTAAATCAATATTATCCTATTGATACATACAGAGAACTGCATATAAAATTGTAGTGTTCAAATGGACACATACTTGAAAAATACATATTACAGGGAAACCATTAGAGCAACCATTTTGAGATTTGTGAGCTTTAGCTGGTAAGAGAACACATTCCAGTGGAATTAATTTATTAGGGGAGTTGCAATGACATGATTAAGAAAATATGCACACACACATACATACACCCTACATAATAAGTTGCAGCATGGTTCTTGTTCTTCTATTTTACTGTTTTTAAGGTACCAATTATTATCAGTTGACACACAATGATAAGTCATGTAAAAATATTTTTGCCAGGTAATTCACAGTTGCTTTTCTTACTCTAAGGCATTTTTGTAATACCACATATATCTCTTGACTGAAGAAGCCTTTTTACAAAACTATATTTCCCTAAAAAAAGGCTTTTCTCAAAACTCAAACTCATTTCCATTGATTCGGAACTAACGTAAAGGCTACAAATTGCATAGAAAAATTTATCATTTTAATCCTGTAGATCTGAATCTTTGGGTTGTCAGCACAACTTTCTCTGGACTATGTCATCAGAGCTTACCAAGAATCACAGTTTTACTAGAAAATGGGATATAGTGGCTTATCATATATACCTACGTGTGATAAAAATATATGACTGGGGAAACTGAGATACTCACTATACATAACAGAAGATGAATTTTTTATTTTAAGATGTTTAACTTAGCTTAAACTACAGTCTTTTACATCTATTCATAAGGCAGAAGAGGAACTGTAACCCGTGCAAGTTAACATGTGATAACATTTACAAAAGACAAATTTTAAACATAAATGGGACAACATTGTGAATAAGTTGAAAAGTGTCTGTCTGAAGTTGTATCATCATGAGAAATATTTTCTCTTTTAGGCCAAAAACGATATTGCATAAAAAATGATCTTGGAAGCAGGTGAATGAAAGAAATGTACTTAGTGGATAATATGAGATCTGGTCTCTTTTTGCCTAATAAGAACTGAGAAATTAAAGTACTTGACTAACAAGATTATGGTAAATTCAACTGTAAAAAGGTGGAAGATAGAGTAGAATGAATCTTTAAATGTCTGCTATAAATCCATGTATCATATGAAAACGTATTCTTGAAGAATACCATCTATACGAGATAATGCACCTAGCATGACAAAAGAATAACATTTTTTTCAAAAAGTGACCATACTAACATAAAAGACACCCATCTCAAGAAATAGAAAGGGGGGGAGGGGTGGGCAGGGAGGAAAATGTGCAACAATGAATGAATGGAAATCCAAAGTCTCTGTAAACTGTCATTAACATTTCAATAAAAAATAGTAGAAACATAACAGTCCTAGAAGTCCCTCACCATACTCCCCTGCAGTCAAAAACACTTCTCCATGTGTTAAAATAATTCTCAATTCTTACAGAATAATTTTACCTGCTCTTTTAATTTGTATACAGATTGAATCACATTACATATATTTATGTGGGTTACATTTTTGTTTTAATGCAATTTTATGTTGTGAGACTTCTTCAGAAGATTATGCATAGGTTACTAATTTCTGTATATAATGTACCATCGAGTGAATAACCATGATTTATTAATCTCTCTTGCTAGCGATGAGGATTCTTATTATCTTCTGGCATTCCAATTATATTTATATTAGACCCTTTGTATGTGCCCTATATATTCCCTATGCTCTTCTTAATCTCATTTTTTTTCTTCTGTCTGCACATTAATTTCTTTCTTTTAATTCTTGTATCTTCCAGTTCCCTTCTGTATTTTGCTACGGATTCCACTAACTCCAACTCGCTGCTTGTGAAGTTAATTTCAACTCATGGTGACCCTCCATAGAGCTTTCAATCTTTATGAGAGGAGAGTGCCGTCTTTCTCTTAGGGAGTGCCTGGTGAATTTGAAGCTCTGACCTTCCAGATATCAGCACAACATGGTACATATTATACTACCAGAGCCCGTTTTGTTACGGATAATTTCCTGCTAAATTCAACCACCAAAGGCGCTTAATATTTATTTTTTTCATTTTTAAAACATCCTTTTGAGTCTTTTCTTAAACAGATTTCAACTCCATTGTAAAATGCTACATCTTATCATGTATTTTACCCATCTTTTACAGCTATTCTAATCTAGAACTTAAAGTTCTTTTTAATATTTTGGTTATTAATGGCCATTTTTAAAATCCCTCATAAGTCTCACTCTCTGTCAGTTTTCTCTTGTCAGAGAATGACTTTTCTAGATTTTTTTCACTTGTAAACATTTCCTTTTTCTTTTTTTAAAGCACGGCATCACATATAAAAATACCTAGATAATTTTCAATGTTACTTTCTGTAGGATTAAGAGTAGTCTAGTTTCCATGCTATTAAGATTGTGCAAAGAACTATTCACAACAATTCCATTAGGAATTAAGCTAGTTGAAGACTCAATTGAAGTTTTAATAACATTTAGTCTATTTCTGGGACTGAGATAATAATAGGTTTCCCATTTTTCATCCCTCAAATACAGAGAGATTCAGGCTTTCATTTTAGAAAAATTTCCAGGAAATTTCCAGCAACTTTTCAGTCACTTTCCAGCAACTTGACTCATGCAGTTTCAAAACGTAGCCTGTCTTATTAATTTCCCTGAATTAACTTTAAGCTCACTAAATAAACGAACTGCATTTATTCACATTTTACCTAGAGTACATACTAAAATGGTAGATCTATGGAATCCATACAGAATAGTCTTATGTATTTAATTGAACTAATGTTTTACCACTCATATTTTTTACATCTATTCTTTATGCTATTAATATTTAGCAGTATGGTGTACAAGTGGTTGCTATTTTACAAAGAGTTAACTAGAACACTACACTGAAGATACAGAACTTGAGTAATGTCTTACTCCAGTCCATTCTGAATGCATTGCACAAATTACCTGCATAAACATTTATCTTTATTATTTAAACATTTATATTTATCAACTTTACCAAATCCAGAAGTAATTTCAATAACAACCAAACATAATCAATAGTAATTTATCCTGGAGTTATGCTATTGTAATTATGAAAATTAGAGCATTTATAATGGATGAGAGTCAAAATGCCTGTGCATTCTGAATAGCTTAGATCTGGGCAACATCTACATTCTTTGAGTGTAGGAAAACATTAATAAATGAAATACTAATAATTTGAATACATAATTACCTGTTATTAAAACAAGGGATTTTAAGCAACTGCAGAGCAAGATAATGAGAATTATTTTTCCTGATGAGAATCTCTGAGCAAACAAGTGAACATTTTAATAAATATTTATTTATTATCTAACAACACTATTGTAGGTAATTTTCTCTGTCTATAGAAAGAAAGGGTACAATTGTTAAACATAAATTCTCTTTGATGTTGAATCAGAACTGACTCATAACAGAACTTCCATTGGTTTTCTCAGACTGCAGAAGAAAAGCTTTCCCATAATTCCCCTTTGGAGTTCCTGGTGGATTTGAACCACCAGAGAGGTATGGTCTTTGACTTGGCAACAAGACTTCCTATAGATTACACCACCGAGATCCCTGAGTTTTTAGAGTCTGAGAATGATTAAATATATATTTTTTGTGAACCTTTAAGTCTAAATATTTGAGATCACTAAGGTTTTCTTTTTAAAGCAAGATAGCTACTATGCATACCCTTGTTTATTGTGGCTTTGTTCACAATAGCAAAGAGTTGGAAACAACCCAAGTGCCCATCAACAAACAAATGGATAGAGAAGCTATGGACTATTCACACAATGCAATACTATGCTGCATTGAAAAACAAAGAACTTATGAAATGTTATACAAAATGGGTGACCCTGGAGGACATTATGCTGAGTAAAATATCTCAGTCATAAAGGGACAAATACCGCTTAATGCCACTGTTGTAAAGCAGGACTGACATCGGGGTTGGGGAGAATCTAAGAAAAGAAGGGATAAATAATGTATACTGCACTGAAACAGATTAAGGAGAAAGCTGTTTGAAAGGAATACGTTATTAAGTATAATTGTCATGCCAAGATGCCAGAATGAGAGTTACATGGGAGAGTGGCCTGGTGGTATAAAATAATGAAAGTTGGGTGTTTGGTTTTGTGTGTTTTTTTTTTTTTAACTTTTCAAAGAGGAATACCAGCTGAGGGGAGGGCTTGGCTGGGAGGAAAATGTGCAACAATGAATGAATGGAAATCCAAAGTCTCTATAAACTTTCATCAAAATTTCAATGAAAATAAAGAAAGCTACTAATGAGAGATAGGTTTGAATCTCAATTATTAATCAGGATTTTATTTCTTTGAACCCAATAATTGGTGTTGCAGAAGGAACGCCTAGAGATCTTAATTATAGATTATAGTCACAAAAACTCTGCATTGGATCAATTCTATTCTGAAAAACTGTGAGGTGGAATCAACTTTAAAAGCACCAAAGAGGGTTTGGTGGGGTTTTTTTGGTCTTTTTTGGTTTAAGATATGAGAACTTAACAGAAACTTCAGTATTTCCACCGAATCCTAAAAAGAGCCTACCAAAGAAAGACTATGCCAAAACTAAGCATACATCCTAAGACAGGTGTGCCACAACAAAGTAAAAATTTAATTATCATGAGATACAAATAGCCAGCTTGAAATCTAATGGGCAGCTGGGGAAGAAAATAAAGATCAAAATTCCTCACAAGATAGATACCTATCACTCACAAAGGGCAGTACACATTCAAGGCATTAACAGACGAAGAACAGAAGAATGGTGTATAACTCCCGAGACTGGTCCTTGCATGATGCAGATGTTGGAATTGTGTGGTGTTGAGTAGGAACCAGCCCATACCTGACCTTCCAAGGGGTTTTCAGAGGCAGTAAAACACACAGGAGGAAATGACCCATCCTTCTCCTGTGGAACATCTGGTGTAGTCTAATCACATGTCCTTGGGACAGCAGTGCAGCTTCTTACACTAGGTTATCAGAGCTCAT